TCAATCACTCCACTAAGTAGAAATGTGTATGCCATTACTATGTAAAAAGGAAAAAAAATCAGCTTTTCTCTATTTAAAAATCCTCCAGGGATGGGGGTGAGGGGCTGGAGAGATGGCTTAGTGGTTAAAAGTGTGCATTGCTTTTTTAAGAGGACCCAAGTTCTATTCCCAGCACTCATATCAGGGAAAACTCACAACCAGCTGTAACTCCAGCTCCAGTGGATCCAGCATCTCTAGCCTCCAGAGACCTACACACACACAGACAGACAGACAGACAGACAGACAGACAGACACACACACACACACACTTGAAATTTAAAATAAATGATTTTTTTTAAAAATTCAAATAAAGGAGGCTGGAGAGATGGCTCAGCAGTTTAAGAGCACAGGCTGCTCTTCCAGAGGACCAGGGTTCAATTCCCAGCACCCACATGGCAGCTCACAACTGTCTGTAACTGCAGTTCCAAGGGATCCAACACTCTCACACAGACATAAATGCAAGCAAAACACCAAAAACAATTTTTTAAATAAAAATGAAAATATAAAAGTCCTCTGGAGATGTTCTTCAGAGGAACCTCTGATGACCTGCCCACCCTAAGTGATCATGGAGAAGAATCTAAGCGCAATAAAGGCAGAGCCCCCAGAACGCCCCATGTTCCTCCAGACCTGCGGGGCCTTCAAATGAAGCACTGGGAATTGAAGCTGACAGGGACCTCACCCAAGGATGCCCTTAAGCTCTGCGCCAGGGGAACCCTATACTTGCCAGGCATCTGGACTGGACTTGGAGGAGGGAGGGAAGGAAAGAGCCCCAGACTTAGTCGCATGGGCGCGCGCGCACGCACACACACACACACACACACACACACACACACACATGCACATTCTTTTGAACTCTCAGGCCAAATCTGTACTATTGTAGTTTCCTCCACCCCAAAACAGAAGGGCAGGAGGGGCAAGCTGCCAGAGGACCAGCCCACCAGATATGGCATGGTCTTACCATCTTTATGCCCTCCTACCCCTGTCCTTCACTAGTTCAGGGCCAACCGGTTCATCTTGCAGACTTGTGCAACTGAGCTGTGCAAGGGGACCCTTGAAAGGTAAGGAAGTCTGAAGACAGGGTTGGAGGGAGGAAGAAAAAGAACAATACATCCAAAGGGTGAGGGATGGAAAGAAGTGAGATGCCCACAGTAGTGTCTTCAATGAGGAAGATTTATTTGCGTGTGTGTGTGTGTGTGTGTGTGTGTGTGTGTGTGTGTGTGTGTGTGTGTGTCTGTGTGTGTGTGTGTGTGTGTACATGTGCAGGCATGTGTCCACTCCTGCTGGAGAAGAAATGCCTTTGACATCCACAAGGGAAGAGCTACACATACCTTCAATTTTCATTCTAAATACTCTGAATCTGCAGCAGGAGAAATCCATGCAACACATTTAGGCAGCACAGCTGGAAGCTGCTGTTCACTCCATCCCTTAACCTGGGAGGACCCTGAACAGCACCCGGGGAGACTGCAGACCAGTGACTTAGCATCTCCCAGCTTCAATTTGGTCCTTAATAAGAGAAAATCATAAGAATCTCTGTGCCTTTGAGATAACTGTAAGAAATAAAATAATGCATATAGAGTGTCTAGCAAATAGCCAATGCTCAATGCATTTTGGCCACAAAGTATTGTTGCTGAAAAAGGACATCCCCCACCAAAGTATCTAAAGCCAGAGAAAATAGCAGCATGGAGATCATGGAAATAGCCTGGGGCCTAGACCCCAGCTGACTCCAATTCATAAGTGGGGGTCTGAGGAAGCCCCTGAGTGTTCTTGTTCCTTCCTTCCACAGGGATGGCATGTACTTCCATTTCCTCTCTGAGTTCCTTGTCTCCCTACACCCTAGCCCTGTGCTGTAGACTCATTTACCAATGCACTGGTCCAATCCCTCCACCAGCCCTCCACTCTCAGTCTCCTCAAGCAGCAACCCCTGCCCAGCTCACAAATGGCAGGGTGCAAGAATGGGGCTCACTTCCATAGACCCTTCTGTGAACTCTCAGAGGCACTGTGCACAGCCCCTTTTGTCCGTCACCCTACACGCACACCCCCTGCCTGGCCCTGGGCTCCCTGGTGGAGTTTGATGCCTTTTGGCTCCCATCCATGGCATTCCTCCTACTTCATGTTACTGCAGACCTTGGGAATCACGTGCAAGAGAGGGGTTGTAAACCTCGCCCTCCTGGCATGTGGGTGACAGACCCCCAGGGACCCTTCCCCAGAGCTCTCAACTCTGTAGGTCAGGCAGGGGCTTGCACCTTGCAGTTCCCACATGTTGAAAGGAGATGCCGATGTGGCTGGTTTGGGAGTCACATAGGAGTCACAGTGTCTCCTGCAAACTGTAACCCACAAGAGTATAGCCAGGGCTTTTCCAGAGAGGAGGACAATCAAGGAAGTATCCAGCAGGAGAGGGAAGGCAAAAACAAGGCCTAAACCCAGGCAGGGCACAAATGGTATCTAGAGGCAGCAAGGATTAGGCTAGACAGGCAGGTGGTGCCAGCAGGAGCCTCACCCCTTCCCTCAGGCTCAGCAGATGGTTCCATTGTGCCAGGTGTCTGTGGCACCTCTGTAGGCTCTTTGGCTATAGAGCAAAGTCCATGTCCCCCGTTTGCAGCTACACAATGTCCCTGCCCCAGGCTGGCTTTTAAGGTCCATTATAGCAATTGTCAGTGCCTCTACCTGCCTTTTACCAGGTGGCTCTGTGGTGCTGATGGAGCCAGTCCACAGGTACTAAGGCGGGAGCCAGGTGAGCCAGCATATGTGCTGTGGGTGTAGGTGGTTAAAAAGGAGGACCAGCCAGGCCCCAGCCTTTGTCTATGCAGATTGCTGTCATCTTTTGGTATAATGGCCCCTGCCAGTATGTGAGTATGCTTGTTCTATCAGTCCCGGATCTAGGGCTGGGTGTGTGTTTGTTGCCACCCGAGCCAGAGTAGTTACTATGGGTAGATAATAATAGCAATCGTAATCCCTCATAATTGGACCAGACTTTGCTGTCTGCAGGGCTCTTCCCCGCCCGTGACCTCATCTGACTTTGTAAGACAGGCGAAGCTAGAGTCACTATCCCCATTTTTCAGCTGAGCAAACACAGGCCCAGATGGCTTGAAGTCACATCTCCCATAAGTAGTAGCCCCAGGACTGGGACCTGGGACTTCTGACTCCTTGTACAGTGTTCTTCCTCTGCTCCATAAGGAACTATCACAATACAGAGACCACCTGCCTTGTTGCTGTGCAGAGTGGGGTGCATAGTCTGACAACAGGAGTCTGCCCACCTGCGGGGGTGTCTGAAGAATATGTGAAGGGGTGTCAGCATCCATAAGAGCATGGAGCCAGGGCAGGAGGCTCAGGGTCACCCAATCTAGCAGAGAAACAAAGCTAGGCCCAAGGTAAGGAGTGAATTAGCTATCGCACAATTGCCATCATAGGAGCCAAGAGACTGTAAGTATCCCCAGCACTACGGCCAAGGTCTGTGAACTACTTGAGTTCAGAGCAAGAGGAATTCAGAAGGCCTACAGGGAACTTAGACTGTCTAGTCATTTCCCATGGGATTAGAAGGGGGAGGCTGGAGGACTGGGGATGTAGCTGAGTACACACTAGGCTGGGTTTGAACACTCCATAAGCCAGTTGGGGCAGTACAAGCCTGGCCCAGCACTCAGGAGGGGGAGGTGGGAGGATCAGAAGTTCAAGGTCATCCTTTACTACACAGGGCATTTAAGACCACCTTGGACTGCAGGAGACCATGTCCAAAGGGGAGGGGATAAACTGAAAGCTACCAAGAACCCAGTCCAGGAGTACACCTGACTCCCATCTTGTCAGTACACATGACTACACACACACACACACACACACACACACACACACACACACACCCACACCACTGGGCAGGGTTACATGCTGGGCCCCTGGACCTTTTGTGTGCACACCTATGTGCACATATGTATACTGGGGGTAGGACTCTTGTCTACATCAAGATATGGGTGGTTATGGGAAGGTAAGATCCAGGTGACAAGAGACCACACTCCCATCTGGGCTTACAACCAAGTTCAGCAGCTCCTTCTGTAAACCAGGGTCACCTGCCTTACCTCACATGTTTCAAGGGTTGTCCCTGAGACAAAAGGAACAATGGATGGAACACACCGAGAACACAGAAACGCACATTAAGGATGAGCTAGGCAGGAAGGAACCGAGTGTGGGTGGAGGGGTCCCAGCTGTTGCCCAGGGGGCTCAGAGACCCCACATCTGAGCATATGGCCATCCCTTGTCAGAAAAACAAACTTCGTACCTCTCCCAGTGGCTCAGAGAGGCAGGACAGTGAAGTACATACACCGACAGAGGAGACACAGATTCCAGTGTTGGAGTTTGTGGCCACAGGTCCACTTTTGTGGCCCCGTCAGGGATTCCCACCCATCTGATGAAATCTTTCTTTTACTGACTTGATCCCAACTTGGAGTTCAGTAAAAGGGTGAAAGATCACCTCTTAGGGGACTCTGAAAACACAGAAGTCACTGGTTCCATGGCCCAGTGCCACATCAAGGGTTACCCAATGACACTCACTTTGGAGCCTAGGTGGGTGGTGACATCATTATCTCCAATGGTTGACGGTGTCACTTGCTCCTGAACATCTGAACACAGCCACGTGTGTGAATCTGTGTGGGCAGATCACCTCATGTCTATAGTGCCCAGAAAGCTACAAGGGGGAAACAGGCAGCTCCAACAACAGAGGTACAGTAGCTTACCTGATGTCTCACAGCTAGCATAGAGCAGATCCAAAAAGAAATTCAGGTTTTTGGGACTCCCCTGCAAGGATGACCCCTCAAAGCCTGTGCTCAAAGACCACAGTGGCTATAGCTAAGGTCCTGGAACCAGACTACCTGAGCTCAAGGTCCTTCTCACTTCAGAATTTAACTTCTCATTATGTGGGGACAGGCCCCTCTCCCTCCCTGGGCACTAGCCACAGGGGAGCCAAGCAGGCTGCTCACCTTTCGATCATCCTCCCGCTCCAAAGTGGAGCTGCTGGTGTCCCCGGGACCGCTGGAGGGCATTGCTGGCAGCTGGGCAGTAGGAGGCAGGCTGGGGCTTCTAGGGCTCTGTGGGGCTGCTGGGCTTCAGAGCCGGAATTCTTGTGGTCTTTGTAAGCAAGAGCTAAAACTTAAACATCGATACTGATGTCAAGCCCCTGGAACAGTGCTGCCTCAGTGCTGGCCTTCAGGTGGCTCTGCCTGTGGAGAAGAGAAGTTGGTTAGCAGGGTATAGCCCACTCCCTCCCAGGACTAGTGTCCAGCCCAGGGCCAGCCTGGCCTCTGACCTCTTTTCTCCCAGTCTCGCCAGCCTTCCAGAGTGTGAGAAATCGAGGCAGCCTCCACCTCCTCTGAGAGCCTGGAGGCTATGACAATCGCTTTCAGAAACTCAAAGGCGTAGTGTGTGCCACTTTTGGGACTTCCAGAGGCCTCCTGCTCCTCTCTTCTCTGGTTTTCTTCCCTTTGATCCTTTCCGCAACCCTCCCTCCCACCCCAGCCAGTCCCTGGGAAACCCCAGCCACCAGAGGCCCCTAGCCCAGCTACATTTTCCTTCTAATCTGTCCTCACCCGGCCCCACACACCCACACCGCTCCTTGAGTGGAGGAGGAAGTGAGCAGCAGCCACAGGATGTAGTGAAATGAATGTCACTTTGCTCAGCCTGCCCGGGACCAAGCACCCCACTAACAAAGCTGAGGCCCTACACCGGCTGTGCTGGGATATGGTTTGCTGGACTCTGGTTGCAAGGAGTGAGCCCAAGGCCATAGCCTCACCGAACAGGCATGCAAGCCACTCTCAGCAAGCCCCTCTCTGGCCCCATTTGCTGTCAGAACTGGTGGGCTTGAGACCTTCCAAACCCACACACAGCTGTATTTTAGGGGCTTTTCTTCCTCCTCCAGGTGTGGGCCGCAAGCCAGTGAAATAACAAAGCCTGAGCCTCAGGCCACAGCTCAGGGTGTGTGTGTTACAGCGACAAATCAACCCCCTTCACTCCAAGAGACACACAGCAGTTCCTGCTCCCCCCACCGAAGAGACTGCACCAAGCCCCTGCCTTGAGTGTGTGCCTGCCCGGGAGGGGATTGGCAGCGGTGGAAGAGTAGGAGGTAGGCTGGATCGGAGCCCACCCACACCCTTCCCCTTCCAGTTCCCCGTTCTGCTTCCCAGCTCCCCTCCCTGTTGGGCCTTTCCTCCCAGCCCCCTCTGCCAGAGCTCCCTGGAAAACCAGGAGCGGGAGCCTGCCCAGGCTTGGGTTTCCCATGGGCCCTGCTCTTTCCCCAGGGATGTGACAGCATGGGAGGTGGGTGTCCCAGTTTGGGCTCAGCACTGGCAGTGGTGGGAGAAAGCTGAAGGGGCCATTGCAGAGCTAGGAGAGAACAGGCCTCAGAAGTAGAAACCGGGTGAGGCTTGCTGAGGAGGCTATGCCATTGGTGGCACCCCATCTCTGCAGGCTCCAGGTAGGAGGTACCTTACTCCCTGCAGCACTAAGCTTGGCTAGGTACTGGGTTCTGTGAAGACTGGCTGTCCAAATACCTGGGAGAGTGGCTCCACACAGTGACGAGGCACTCATGGAAAGCTTTCTTAGTTTATTGTTAAGGCTAAGGCTCAAACAGTTGGGACATGTCTGAGGTGCGAGCCAGATCTCATGACTGAGTTCTGGGGGCTGAGTGCTCTTGGAAGCTAAGTCCCCCTTATCCCCAAGCCCACAGAAACTGCTCTCCACAGCACAAGAGGAAAACCGGTCCAAGCCAGGGCTCCCAGAGGCTTCCCTGATGCTATTGGCCAATGAGTCCTCCCATATTCCAGTTTGCCCTTTGTGACCACAGTCGTTTCCAATCACCCCACACCAAAACCCTGAGAAGTGGATGATGGCACAGAGGTGCAATTGGCAGAAAAGAATGCTGGACCCAGAGCCAGCAGATAAGGTCCTGGCTGGGTTAGCTGACTCTCAGGATGTCATCTGGCTCCCACCTGCCCTGATGGTGGGGCCTCACAGGCAACAGGAGTAGAGCTGCCAGCAGACTAGAGAGGTGCCTTCAACAATGGAAAGACCAGGCACAAAACAAGCAAAGGCAATTATCTGTGCCCCAGTCACAGAGACACAGGGGAACCTGTATTGACCCCAGAGGGGGAAGGGAGGGAGTGGGCAGGAAAAGCAGAACAGCAGAGGGCACTGACTACAAGGGCAGTCACCCATGAAAGGGAAAGGAAGGAAATGTCTCTAGGGCCACCCATGCCCCTGACATGTGAGCTTCATGAAAAGTTATCACAGTAAATAGTGGTCCGGGGTCAAACCTTTGTTTCTCCAGAGACCTCAGAACCCCTCGGCATTATCTAAAATCGTCACCATGTGACCAGGCAAGCTCCCACTTAGCGGCCAAGTTCACAAGCCTAGACACGGCAGTGCCCACCTGCTCCTGAGAGCCACACTCGTCTTTCAAGGCACCTTGGCTACAGGGAGCAGTGAACTCCTGGACCACTGTCCCAAGCTAGCAGCAGGCACAATGTCTACCTCAGGATCCGGCAGCCCGTAGCACCTACAACATCCTCCTTACCCAGGCCAAGGTTGCACAACAGGAATCCTCACTGTGAACCCAGCCATCACCACCAGCAATTTTTATCTTCTCCTCAATAATTCTTCATGCCCATAGAGCCCCCGAACAATGTGTGTAACAACAGCATAAAAATGTTCATCCTTAGGACTGGAGAGATGGCTCAGTGGTTAAGAAAGCTTGCTGCTCTTCCAGAGGACTCTGGCTCCCAGCACCCACACCAGGTGCCTCCAAACAGCCTGTAACTCTAGTTCCAGATCTGACATCCTCTCCTGGCCTCCACAGCACACACACAGTACACACACACACACACACACACACACACACACACACACACACACACACACACATAAAAGTCAATCTTTGGGGGGAAATGCTCATCCTTGAACTCCTGATCCTCCGCCTCCACCTTCCACCTGCTGGGATTTACCAGCCTGTCCACAATGTCTGATCTCTGTGGTGCTAAGGATAAAACCCAGTGTCTTAGGTATGCCAAGGACCCCACTAACTGAACTAGCCTGACAGCTGCTTTTGTTGTTGCTGTTTTGTTGTCTGAGAGGGTCTAATGTAGCACAGGCTGCCCACAAATTTGCTACACAGCTGGGAACTCCTGATCCTTCGCCTCTACCACCCAAGTGCTGAGATGACAGCCACCATGCCCAGGAGTGCAGCAACACCAACTAGTCCCCACATTTTACTACCTTCTTCAACCTCCACACAGTTTTTTTTTTTTTTTAAGAGAAGATGTGAAATGACAAGAACAGTCTGAATAAGGGAAAAGACATTACCAACAAAAATTAAAGATTGGGAAAGCAACTTAACAGACATATCAGAGACAGGTGTGGGAAAGCTGATTTCAATGCACAGTCCTTAACAGATACTTGTCGCCATGGCACCAGGCACCTGTGGGACTAGACTGAAGAGGACACGTGTGTGAAGATAAAGAGGCTGGAGCAAGAACCATCTCTACACCTGCTTCTCCTGAAGTCGCCTCTTTAGATTCTCTGGAGGGCAAAATGGCTGAGGGAGAGCTGACACATCCAGCCAAGCAGTTCATTTAAATGCTGATATAAGTTCTTAGGCTCTTCCCCCACTGGGCTGGAACACAGTGGCTGCTGGGCCCAGATTTCCTCTAGGGCAAAGGCCTAAGGATGCAGCACTCACCATAATGGGGCCAGGACTGCCTGTCTGGTCCACCAGTGTAGATCTGAGAGTTGACAAGCCTTCAGGGTCAGAGCTTACAAACACCTTCTCTGGATTAGTTGGTTTCAGTTGTTTGTTTTGGTTTTTTGTTTGTTTTATTTTTGAGACAGGATCTTATTATAGCACTGGCCTGGAACTTTCTGTGTAGCCTAGGATGGCCTCAAACTAAAGATTTTCCTACTTCTACCACCTGAGCAGTGATTTCAGGTATGAACCATCACACCTGGCCAGTCCCCAGTTCATCACTTATTTATTTAAAGGTCTCACTATGTAGCTTTGGGTGGCTTGGAACTTGCTACATAGACTAGGCTGGCTTAGAACTCACAGAGCTCTACCTGCTTCTGCCTCCTGCAATCCCCTGTTCTTAATCTAGAAAAGTCAATCAAGGGCCAAAAGATGTTTTAGGAAAGCATCTGAATTGGAAGACAGGGACCAGAATAAATAACATCAAACCAAATGTACAAAAAACAAAGATGGCAACAGGAACTTGGCAAAACAAATGTTAGATACAGAGAAAATGTTTCTGTAGCCACAAAACAAGATTGTGACATGACTGAAAAACAAAAGTTAGAAAACAGAAAAGAACTAGGGGCTGGAGAGACGCACTGCTCTTAGAGAGGATGACGGAGTTCAGCTCCCAGCATGCTGCGGAACAATCTTTTCGTACACTGTATCTGTTGTTCTCATTGATTTAATAAAGGGCTAAATAACCAATAGCTAGGCAGGTAGAGCTTAGGCAGGACTTTTAGACAAAAAGAGAGGCTAGGAAGAAGAAGGGCAGAGTCACCAGCCAGAAGCAGAGAAAGCAGGAGATGAACATGCCATGCTGAAAAAAGTACCGCCATGTAATAGAGCACAGATAAGAAATACAGTTAATTTAAGTTGAAAGAACTAGTTAGTAACAAGCCTAAGCTATCAGCCGATCACTTATAATTAATGTCTCTATGTAGTTATTTGGGAGCAGGCTGTCAGAACAGAAAACCCCCACCTACACAGCACTCATGCCAACTGCCTTACAACCACCTGTAATTCTATTTTCTGGGGATGTGACACCACTGGCTTCCTCGTGTATCACATTCACATACAGACACACAGACACACATAAAGCACACACACACACATACAGACATATAAACACACAGACACAAATACATACACATTGCTAAAAAATAAATGCATTTTTTAAAAAAGGAACTTCTAGAAATATAAAATCATGGTAGTAGAAACACAAAACTCAGTGGCTGACTAGAAATAAAATGATTTATCGTACGATCCATGATCTCACTGGCCTACTATCATACCTACACAAATCCAAAAGAGATGAAAAATATCTAAGACACCTGTACTCTCATATTTACTGAGGTACTATTTGCAATAGAGAATCAACCAAAAGATGACCAAATAAAGAGAAGATTTATGCCCAATTGAGTATTGTTCAATTATAAAACAACA